GCAGGGCCCCACCTTACAGCGCCTACAAAATTCAACGATTGTATCAAACTATATATAAATCAGTGTTTGTACATAGAACGTATCATACTAGTACACAGCTTTAATCAACCTAGCTCTTCCACAATTGCTTCTTGGAAATGCTCATGAAAGAGCAGGTATAAGTTGTCTTGGTCGAAGACTGGTTCCTATGAGGAATAAAGGTTATTGTGATCTCCATTAGTCAAATTCAGAAATAGATTCCAGTGATTAAACTGACCCGATTACCAAAGGATCAAAGTCGGGTCATGATGTTCTATGCCAAACGAAGATCAGAGCTAACTGCAAAATTATATCATTCCACTGAACCCTGGCCCACAAATCTCTATGGATAGACGGGTATTTAACACTGTATCAGGCATCTCAGATCTCCTATATTACCTATAATTTGTAAAGGATCCTTTAAAGAGCCTATATTTCATGAAATCTCTCTAAATTTGCTAGAAATAAGGAACTTTAATTATAAATTTATGCATATTTTGTCATTTCTTTTTAAAATATGTTGCACATCCCTCATTATTTGATATTGTACTCAATATGGGGTTCCTGTGGTTGATTGCAAGGCCTGGATACCCAGCTTTATGCACATGGTGCTATTTCATGTTGATAAGCACAATGGAAGATGCTGAAAGTTTCAATACACCTCTATAGATTTAAAACAGATTTGTTATTTCTTACTATTTAATGTATGTAAAAAGCTAATTTAGCTCCTATAAAGCTCCTATAGTTTTGGGAAAAAATCCTATATCTCCCTATATTTAGGAATCGGATAGCCTATATTTCCTATCAAATTTGTCTAAAAAGTGGCCGGGATGTCTTCTGTATTTAAAGGGAAGTCTTTTTCTTGAAATGATAGTTCCCCCGGAATTGCCTGGAGGTACATGAGGGCATGGTTTTAATTGAGTGATGCATTAGATTGTGTACATACCATGTTTGGTCCTGAGCCTGAATCCTGGGCAATTGGTCTCATTATTGTTAATTGGGGCTCAAGTACGACCTGCAAATTGAATTATGTACATCATTAAGGGATACAAATAACAAGAAAAGAATCAAACATGTGATGTGTAATTTATAGGTAGTTAACCTCATTGTTATGCAATGCTTTTTACATGACCAGTTATTACTATTCTCACTACACCCTGGACAAATGGACAATATAGGCGAATTCTGAGGTTTCTCATCAGTCCGCAGGCTTTTGAAACGTTTTGTTTAATAATTTAGTTAATCCACAAAATCACTTTACATCTACATTAGGGATAGAAAGGTGATATCTTTTCACTTGAGTAAGTTCAAATGATTTATAACGCCCTGAGTATAGTAGCCATATTTTATGCTTATTTTTTTGTTTTCTTTCATTTAACTTAAACATCTTTTCGCACAATTTAGTAATTAGTGTTTCACACTCTTACAGGGAGCACTCTAAAACGCAAATGGTTAAATAATGCAATAGAAATAAGGAGATTCAAGGTGTTTATACTTACGTCACGCTCATTTTGCTCTACTGGTATTTTAACTCTTCTAATCAAAAGAACTCCTTCGTTCTGTAGGTCCTGCTGGTAAACACATAAGCCATCCATGAAAAAGCAAGGTTTGATTCCTGCGTACAATAGTATCTAGAGTTTTTTGTGTTAGCATGAACAGATTAATGTATAAATGATGCTCAACTTGAAATCAGGATCTCTCATGTTGGTAACATCTATTTAATATGTCTTATTTCTATCATGGAGACAGTGCAAGCACTCACTCAAACGTAGAGAATACTACATTGAATTGTTTATATTTTGAAATCAAGGAGCTATTTTTAATTTTAGGCTAACGAAATAGGCTGCTTAAATTTACTTATAGTCTCCTGATAGTGTAATGTTCCCTAGGTTCTTCAGCACTGTATACGAGTTCTACATTTAGTTGTTTGTCTCACAAACAACTCTGCTGAATTTTCAAGTAGCATATATCCATATGCAATTGTTTGCGCAAGCTAATAAACTAATTATGATATTATTTTATCCCTTTAGAGCTTTATCACCTGATTGTCACGCCCAAGCTGACGTCCATCAGGTATACGAGGTGCAGGAGGACATTGGAGATCCTTTGCTGTCTCCTATAATTAAAAAATATTAATAAATATCATAATTTTTTAAATGGACTGAAAGACAATTGATCACTGAAATTTAAGATTTGAGGTCCATCTTATGTGAAATTAACCATTTCTTGATTTCTACCTTCTGGAAGAGGTGTAGGCTCTTGTGTTGTATCCATGTCAAAATTGTCCAAAAATGACTTGTGTATACATGGAAGTTGATAATTTTATAAAAAATGTCAGTTTTAAAATAATTTAGAAATAGGTATTGAGTGCACACCATTTTTAGAAAATGTAATAGCAAGAGCAATTTTTTTAATTGAATGACATCCTTATATACAAAGTATTTTAGCACTCATTGTAATTTCCTAGGTATTCATATAGCAAAAGAGGAGTGTATGGTGAATGAATTTCTATATATTTACAGAATCGTGAGAAAAATCAGATGAAAAGGTTTGCATCACCAATAAGATGAAGAGTGCCATTTATTCAAACTCGAGAAAGGAATGGAACAAGGACATGTCGTTGAAATATTCCACAGGTTCCACTTGTTGACTTCAGTACATTCAACAATAATGTGTTGGTGTATTTCCATGCAGAATTAAAGTTAAAATTAAATATTAAGATTATTGACGGAATTGTCAACTTACATCTATTTCGCTGTGCTCTTGTGCCTGTCTTTGGTGTGCCTTAACACAAAGAACCAAATGTTAATTGCCTTCAGATTTTATTGATTAAGAAAAATATAGTTTTATGTTAATTTTAATTGCATGTTTGAATGTTATAGAAGAAAATATATAAATTTAGAATAATGAATGAATATATTTTAGTATATAAATTTTACACTTTTATTCCGGCACATTGAAAAAAGGCTTTTGATCTAGTAAATAAGCCGGTCATGGAAAATTCGAATTACTAGCAGTGATTATGGGTAGTGAAAAATTCTAAACATATAGATTGTTTTCCTGTGCTTGAACCCTACAAGAATATCTTTAGATACTGCTGAGGTTTTTAAACGTTTGCGTGCTTATCTCAAATGRTCAATACTACTAAGACTGGAGTTTTGTGGTTAAAAGATAATGAGAAGTGGTTTTAAAATATTAGCTTAGTTATACTATAATCGAGTTAGCACGTGCTGTGTGCTAGTGTTCGTACGATAGATTTACAGAATTCCATGATGTTGTTTTTATTCTAGAAAACGATAATATTTTGAAATCTTACAATTATGTTATGATTTGAGATTTAAAAGATATAAAATATACTAGCCAAAATTAACCAGTAAGGCAAAATTCTTTTAAAAAATGGGATTTTATTAAGACAAACCAAATTCTAAATCAAATATGGCTGCCATTTGTAATTACGAGTAAGCAAAMGTTTTAAGCAATTGATCTCACAGTATACGTAATTAATATCTTACAAAACATGCAAAGATACAGTCACAAATTGTATTTCTTAATCTTGCTTATTGTTTTAAGCCGTACAATTTCAGGTTGCCTTGTTACTTTGCAAGTTTGATCGAAATCTTTGATTATATGGCCATGAGAATGCAGCCTCAAACAACCTTTCTATCCAATGTACCGCCACTGAGACCGTCTTGTATGCCAAAAGCAGCAATTTTGCTAAAACCTCGAAAAACTGACTATGTTATAGCTGAACCTTTTGGCCATTAAATTGATCTATTAAATTTTACATAATTTTCAAAAAGATACTCAAAAGATACTCAAATACTTACTGAMATCTTATGTACTGGAAACTAATAGGCAATAGAGCACGATGAATCTAAGCAATATCTATAAACTGAAACGCTTTAGACTGTAAATTGAAAAGAACTCGAATTGRGAGTGAAAAATAAAAACAGTCCAATATTGAAAAGGCCAATTCAGCCCCTACTAACATTAGGAGGTCCGGTGTGTCCTAGGGGCTCGCCCCAACCCACGCCACCACCATTACACCCGAGCGGAGGCTGAAAACAATCAAAATCTACAGAGAAATGGCTGCCTTTGAAGTTGACGTATGATAACTCAATACGGCAAAAGCGAATTCGAGTTTATCAACATAACAGAATTGGAATTTTTCACTATGTTTTGATGTCCAAATTGATGTCAAAARTTATAAGAGACACATCAGTGACATTTAAAAATGTGGTGAAAGYGCTGAAAGAAAGATGAAGGACCAAGAAAATGATGCAAGTAAGCGYGTGCAGGAAGACAAGTAGAAAGGTTTGAGTTTCAGAATAGAATTTGCAAAGGAAAAAAAAGGAAAAAAGTAAAGGGATGCGTTGAAAACCGAGTTGTRTTTACTGTGTTTGGAAAACGTTTTGTGAAATGTAGAATAGGTACAAGATAGTGTAAGATAACGAACACATGTTTTTAAGAGTAAAATTGCTGTTGCTGTTTACCTCGAGTCATGGCGCGTAGATAGTGTACACTTCATCTTCTGTTTGACATCGTGGTCATCTTGAGATCGATCAGGAAGACATGTCCTTAGAGAGTTGCCTCTGCTAGAATCCCTTGGCATCTCTCGAAAACTAAATGYAATCTTTCATTAGTTCCATATTATATTAAAAAAAATCGATTTTTACATACTTTTCGTATGTTGACCTGATACTTTTAGGCTCAGGAGCCTCATAAATGCTGGACATCGTTGTTTTACAACAAGAAGCAGCGAGAAGAGCTGTGTACAAACGATATTGATTTTAGTTTGGAGAATTATCTGAAACCCCAATAACTCATATTTAGTATGCTGCCAAGTAACTGCCAGAGACTTCCAGGAATGCTTTTCCTGCCTGATATAATCTTGATTTATTGTCCAAATATTGAAGACCCCAAAGCCAAGAATTGACCAATGGCGTTGTAGAAAGATAATTACCCCGGGCATTTCTCGATACCTGCTGTCAACTGTTTAAAAACAGATAAGAGATATAATAGCAGCCTAAAAAWWTTGTTTTATCAGCATAAAATKTTTCTTTTGCACTACTGCCTAAATCATGACTTGGTTTTTACTGCTATTTTCGACGAGATGGAACTCGATATATTCTTATACTCAGGACTTMAAGATAATTTTAATGATAATTCTAGAAGTTCGAGAGTTTGTCTGAGGTCAATATTTGTCTCCACACGACACAGACATCTTTCTATTGACATTTCGAAAGAAAATATTTGTCATGACATTCTAGAATGTCCCACTATGAATACACGTAATCAATGTTTCAATTCAATGTGAATTCTTTACTGTGAAAATTTGGCTCATTTCTATTACTTTATTATTACAGAGTGCAAGGAACATAAATGCAAAGTACAGTGCCGGCCTTCMCAAGTACTATGTAAATGGCCAGCCATTAATTTGATGTTTCGGATGGCGTATTCTTTAGTTTAATGCCGACATGAAAAACTTGACGAGAACACCTACGTCTACATAAAATAGAAAGTACTGGTATTCTTGTTTTGGATACCCTCCCCTACCACCCCGACCCCTCCATAAAAGAGTATAGTAATTAGGAGGAAGCTATGATTTCGATTGATACATTATAGTACACTAACGTGAATTTATACTCGGTACTTACCTCGGCTCAGTTAGCTTCCATTSGTGGGACAAATTTTTTTGACATGGTTTGATAATGSGTTGTACAAAAGAAGTGAGTCTCATTCTGTAGAAGTTGGAGTGTGAAACTCTAATTCCATGTTGTTTCTACCGAGGTTTTCAGAAAGCACTGACTCTTTTTTATCCTGGCTTTAATGAAATCCTTCGTTGTTTGAATTTAGCTGTGTTCTTAAAGAATCATTAATTCCATATTGTAATTATCTGTCTCATCATCATAGAAAGATTTTTCATTTTCCCTGACCAGAAAGWACAGTCACTATGACTTGGATACGTTCTATTTCACTGAGACGGTACGATTTCAGTATGAATCCCCCCACCCCCACAGCAACCATTTGTGATCCAATAAATTTAAAAAGTCATCTAATTCTAAAAATATGAGATWGAATATTCCCGCAATGGTCACAGCGAGCTGGATTATCCGAATCTTAATTTTATCGATATGGTAGCTACAGTCTTTCAAATTTCATGTAATTCTTTCAAAATTTCATATAATTTTTATATTGACCTTGGTTAAGATTGAATTCCCACCTCCCCCTTCGTTCAAAAAAACCCTTACCGTCCCTGAGTCAACAGTGTCAATCACACAAGATATGTCAAATTGTTTCGTTATGATCTGTCGCATGTTTCGATTCAATGGTAAAACCATTAAACTTGGTTGTACCGTAACAGGATAGCAGATATTSACGATATTATTCTTTGTTCAATTTTTGTATTAATAGTAATAATATCCTTGGACAGTGACGACAACGCAAAAGCGAAGTCTCTGGCCAATTACATAAGGCTGTGGCAGTTGTCCAGACATGCCTTACCCTTTGGTCAATTATATAGCTATATTTAACAAGATGAAATTTCAATTGTAATATGGTTTTCTTATTCAAAAGTCRATTACTATCTTCATCCAGTGCCTTCATGCTTAGTTTTGATAAGTGKTATGGCGCACAGAAGATTGCGAATGTTGCTCTCAAAACACGATATCTTAAGAAAAGAGGTCACTTGATGTCTGTTAGTATGAATTGACGACTACAGAGCAACATGCTGTCAACAGCTTGATTTCTTCATTGGAATGCTCCAGATGCCATTCTTACCCGAAWACTAGAGAAATTTTTTGTTGGAGAAAATGAATATGTTGTCCGTGTCATAATTTGCAGACTTGCCAGTGCATCTTCTTCAGTTAGCATTGTTTACAGGCACAGATCGACCTTTAAGAATATCGTTTTCAATTTCATTCTATTGACAGTCSAAATACCAAAAATGCTTTGACAAACCGCTATATCCTGGCAGTCTCTGCACCGTCTTCTCGGAAAAAAAATTCTAATATCTTTTTGTTTACTAAGGAAAACAGCCGGAAAACAAACATTTCAACCGATACTTTTGAGGGTGCTGTGCTTTTGTGCTGAGAAATATTTCCCCCAAGTCTTCACTGGTATGCCTGATCATCTGCTTTGCAAACATAAATATCGACTGAGGGGGTAGAGGTTTTTTCAGCTTTTTCGACATATTTCACAACCTCGGGGGTAGGCTGAGGACGAACGTCACCGTAGCCGTTTCTGATAGTTTAAACACAGGCTTCCCAGTCTCTGAGGAGATGTGCTACCTGTGRCGATAATATTAACAGCTTTTCACATGTAGTCAAACATCGTTTTTTAAACCGCATTTTTTTCATTCTTTAAATAAGAAAAAAAACTGAAATAAACATGTTTCAATAGTTTATGGACATTTTTGAGAGTGGTTATTTTCGATTTTGATGCTGTTTTAGTGTATTTTGGGAGGGTTAGATTTCGACTCCCTCCAGAGCTGTTTAGATTGTCGCCACAGGTAGCCCATCATCCGTAACTCCTCAGAGGCTGGGAAGCCTGTGGTTTAAATATTAAAGTATTGATTTTGAATTTTGCAATTAATTTGACTCAAAATGCGATTTTTATTGAAAAAAGAACGACAGGAAGAACAATTTCAGACGTTTAAAACAATTTATTTCTTTAGAATAGATCTTTATTATAGAGACCATAGTTAGTAGAATAGTACTAAATATGTTGAGACAAACATACGGCATGATACATTATCCTTAGCTTCCCATTAGATTACAACCTAACTACTAACTACAACATGTCACACAATCACGTACTGCAAGTTCATAACCCAACAAGAAATCTTGGTTTCGAAAGCACTGTTTTTTGCCTTTTCCAATCAATTTCAAATGGCTATTTTRCGATTCAAAACTGACAAGATTACAACGGCCAACCTCACCTTACTCCAAAGGTTGAAGAAAGTTAATAGACTCATGCATGTTACTAAAAAACAAAGTGTTCTTTAATACTCATTTCAACTTTATTGAGGAATTTCTGAGAAACATTAACAGTTATTTTAGAATACAATATTTCTAACCTACATTGAATTAGAAATTTGAGCGTTCGATCGGAAGAAACATTACGTCATCATAATAAGTATGGGCTGCCTTTGATTTGCCTTGTAGTATGCATAGAGTACAGCTGGAAATATTTTTTAAGGTCTAAAACATAACCAAAGACACACAGAACAATGTACAATAACATCAAAGACACATGGGATTAAGGTAGGATGTATTTTATTAAAAAAATGTCTTGCTTGGGTGGTTTGTGCTTAAACTGTAGTTAAGAGGATTTCATTAAAAAGATGCAATGAAATATTCTCATTAATTTACATAGCTTGAGTATATTTGTAAAATAAAACATGAGGCGGGTCAGGTGATGGCTATCATTAAAGCGATTAGGAAACTTGAAAATTCTTTTGTTGTCTATTTACACACTGTAGACTAAATTAACGGGTATACTGAAGGGTGTGCCGTCAACATAACATTGTAACATTACAACATTATAGTGATTAACATTAATTAGGCCAGAATATCAAAAATTGACTCAGATCTGAATAAACAAGAATGTRAGTTTACGCCTAAAGAAACAAAGGTATAGCTAGTTACTAATCCCATCTGAGCTGTTCATTGATATATTCTTCACCAGAATAGTAATTGTTAATTTGGCCCCTGCAATGATTATAAACAAACATGATTATGTGATATAAAATACACCATTTTTTTATTTGCTCCTGTGGAGGACAAGAATGAACAGCTTGAAACCAGTTTAAATCTCAGGGGTTTCTGCTTACCATGCATGTTGGAAGTTGTTGATTCATGGGACGTTTCTTCAACAGGGTGCACAAAGTTTTCTCCTTGATTTTGCTCCTATATGGAGAGAAAGACATTAAGAATAATGAAAAGTTTGAGACCGGTTTAAAGCCCGGGAGATTCTGCAGATTATATAGTGTAAATATACCATGTTTGAACTTGTTGGTTCTTTGGACGTTTCTTCAACAGGGTGCACAAAGTTTTCTTGTTGATTTTGCTCCTATGAGAGAACGAAAGAATAAAGTTTGAGACCGGTTTAAAKCCCGGGAGATTCTGCAGATTATATAGTGTAAATATACCATGTTTAAAGTTGTTGGTTCTTGGGACGTTTCTTCAACAGGGTGCACATAGTTTTCTTGTTGATTTTGATTCTACGGAGAGAAAGAAAGACTATAGTTTGAGACCGGCTGAAAGCCCAGACGATTCTGCAGATTATACAGTATATATATACCGTGTTTGAATTGGTTGGTTCTTGGGACGTTTCTTCAACAGGGTGCACAAAGTTTTCTTGTTGATTTTGCTCCTATAGAGGATAAGAATGAAAAATGTGAGAACAGTTTAAAGCTCAGGAGGTTCTGCAGATTATATAGTGTAAATATACTTTGAAAGTGAAGTTGAAGGTTGATTCATCATCATTTAAAACTATTCTTGAAATCTACTACTGGATTAGACTTGAAGGCTGTGTGTTAGTGACGATCGACTACCTTGACTAACGGGCTTGTCAGTGACTATTGCTGAGGTCTGTTCTAAAGTTAGGATATGGAGGAGTAACTAGACTACCAGGTGCGCGCCGTTTTCTCGAGAAGCTGTCCGTGGATTATATAGGAATTTGGAGACATCAGAGTAGCAACCTTCCTGCCAAGAGTTAGGAAAATGCAGGAACACAGCCATCTGTTACTACCTGGCACCTTACTGCCTACTGTACCTACATAGGATGTATAAAATCTGTAATTTTTATACACTTGCTTAATTTGCAAATTTCTTAATAAAACATATTGTCCCCATATTGCTACTTCGCTTGTGACTAAATTTTTATTTTAGAGTTGGTGTGATATCGAAAGATTTTACCGACTAAATAATTGTAGATGTAGATGTAGTTTCTTTACTTCGCTTGTGACTTGTTTCTTAAAAATAAAGGTTAAAAGTTTAATGAATTGCAAAAGCAATCTTTTGTTGCATTGATCATTATTGATTTACATCTAATGTACTGGTGAAATGACTTTGAGAGTGAATGAAATGCTGCAGTTTCTGTTTATCATCCAGATGAAGTGTGTTAACACAATGAGCGTTATTTAATATCTACTACTTTTTGAGCATTTGCTAGATTCCAAACTCATCCCATTACAGCAATAAAAAAATATTTTCAAATATTAGCCAAACTTTGGCCGACCAAAATCCAGTGCTGTGTTTATAGGTATCTCTGATTAGTTTATCCTTTTACTGTTTATAAACATTCAATAATCGGTTTATTATCAATGTGGTAACTAAATTTTCATTCAATCCTAGAGTACGTTTAAATCATAAAACCTATATTAATGCTTMATGTTATAGTTAAGAAAGGGGCAAGGAGAAAAAAGCCGCACTACATGTCTTATTGCTTTTATTTTCAGCAACATAAGTTTCACTTTAGAATCAGATGGACTCAAACTCCGAAACACCTTTGATCTCCTCAGCTATCTATTTTAGCCCCTTATTGGCGAGAGCTCAACCAAACATGATTCCTTTCATGATCTTCTTGAAACTTAAGAGCTAGAATGCAATTTTGAAGAAAATACTTGTATATTTAGTGTAACATGTTTTCTCGAGAAGCTGTCCGTGGATTACATTGGAATTTGGAGACATCAGAGTAGCAACCTTCCACCCAAGAGTTAGGAAAAAGGAGGAACACAGCCATCTGTTACTACTGTACCTACACCTGGCACCTTACTGCCTACTTACCTACATAGGAAGTATAAAATCTGTAATTTTTATACACTTGCTTAATTTGCAAATTTCTTAATAAAACATATTGTCCCCATTTAGTTAAGAAAGGGGCAAGGAGAAAAAAGCCGCACTACATGTCTTATTGCTTTTATTGTCAGCAACATTAGTTTCACTTTAGAATCAGATGGACTCAAACTCCGAAACACCTTTGATCTCCTCAGCTATCTATTTTAGCCCCTTATTGGCGAGAGCTCAACCAAACATGATTCCTTTCATGATCTTCTTGAAACTTAAGAGCGAGAATGCAATTTTGAAGAAAATACTTGTATATTTAGTGTAACATGTAAAATACATGGTCTATAAACTAATTTTGATTCTCAGTGTAACGGCCAACCGTTGCCGATTTGCCGGTAATTCCAGCTCTCAGCACTTCTAAATTGATAATATGCAGCATATAATTAAGATCATGTTATCATCGAATCGATGAAAAAGGACTAGAAAGAAAAATGCATTGCACAGCACAACTACTGCTTTCAATCGGCTCTACCATAATGCGATTCTGGCAATGCAGGCACAAATTAAACTTTCACCATTTCGCCATGCTTTAATATAAGATTCCTAAAATCTCAAAATCCGTGCTTTCTTGGTAGCTACAATGCAGTGTCTGAATGTAATGYTTTGACCATTCTAATGATTTCAATTTGAATTGGTGTGCTCTTGGATTTTAGCACCTCTGCTATATTGCAAGTCAATACAGTTCGTTTTGCTGAATTATCTTCATTTGCAATCGTTAGATTCTCATTTAAAAGAAAATATCTATGCATAGCGATAACTCAGCTTCTTAAAAGTGATTTTAGATCTCTAAACTCAATAACAAATTAAGCGATGGATAAATAAGCACAAAGTTTTACTATATAGTCATTACGCTAAGCACTAACTTATAATCAGCCGAATTCTCTTCTTTCATAAGCAACATCATCACAGATCTGCTAAAAAGCTAAAAAAAACTAAAATGACTTAMTTGATTGTTATCCGACATCGCGTTTAGCTTTTGTCCAAAAATAGTTTGATAAATGTTTGCAACGGCGAATAAGGTTGTAGAATAGTAGGAAGTGTAGAGGCGTGCAGGGGATTCTGGGTTAMATTTCTAGGTATCCATGGAATTATCACGCATCATTAATACTATTCTGCTTTTCAGTCATACAGTATAAATTGCAATGCATTGATGCTGATTTTCCGATAAAAAGCTTTAATTGCTACTTTAAAGTCGACGAGAATCAAAGCATAACAGTTCATCACGCGCACAATAAAAAGAAAGAGCACTCGCTTGGCGATTCCAATTATGTGACCCCTACAAATATCTCTAAAAATAGACTTATTGGCAACAAAGCGATAGCATTGGCTTATCTGCTCGGCAAATATAACTTTTTAGTATTTGAAATAACTGAATAATAATATTTGCCTACCTTCTATGACCGCGCTTACTTGAAGTCATTATTCACTTCCAACATAGTTCATAGTTCTCTGACTGTTAGCGTTGCTTGCTTGTTTTTTTACCAGATATTGATGACTTTTCGTATAATTGGTTGGTTTGAGATCTTTATTCTTTAGTTTTCCCAACTTAGAATCTCCATTCTCATTAATTCCAACTTTTAGATATCTGCGTTATGCTATAACGACAAGAAGGCTTCCTTTCGCTTTCACCGGAAAACTATACACTTCTTAGAAGTGGCGTTAGAGCAGAATCTGTTTTCATTGAATAATGGATGAGATTATTCTTTTCCTGAACAGGAATATGAGCATTGCCGGCGAATCCGAACACATTCATTGTTAGTCATTGTCTGACTTTACTGGCAGTACATCGATCTTGTTCAGTTCTCCTTCAGATTCTATAACGGAGCGTGTTGTAACTGGCACAGACCTCTTGTGAACATCGTTTTCGGTTTCATATGATTTATTTTCAAAATAYCGAAGATGCTTTGACGAAAAATTAGCCAATCACTTGGCAAAAGTTGTGACAATGTCCTGTCAATCTCTGCCCTCTTGAGCTATTTATTCGAATAACATATGAAGCAACAACTCAAACATTTTTTGTAGATCTCGCTATAGCTATTTTCTCTCTCTCCAAAATTGAATGATCCGGCGCAATAATCCATAATTTTACATTTCCTCCGTTATTAACCTATTTTTTCCGAACTGTTTTTTGCAGAAATAAACTTTAAGTAATTGCAAAATAGGTAAATCARTATGGCTGGATGTAAAAAGATAGCATTGGTTTGAGGTCAATGTTTGTCTCTGTAGGAGAGAGAATTGTCGGTTATGATTTGACATTTGGACTTTGAATATACAAAGCGTCTTACCAATTAATCTGTTGATTTCAGRAGTTGTTTTAGGAGATACATTTGACTCTCTTTGAACGACCACTCTCGTAATCGACCATCCCCTGTATTCGACCACCCTTTCAATTTCCCGTCTTTTTACCATATAAACTCTATAGAAAAAACTCTCTCGTAGGCGACCACTTCTTCTTTAGGCGACCGAGAAAACCTTTGGGATTGAATTTGTGGATGGAATTTGTCATTGTTTTAACTCTCTCGTAGGCCAACACTTTTGGATAGATACAACATTCTCATTATTCATGAGGTACATAGCCAATCCCTGATTGTAATTTGTACCACATGATTTAACTGGAAACCATAGGAAGTTACTTCTACCTTGTTTCCAGTTACTTCTGCCTTATTTTCAGTTACTTCTACCATTTTCCAGTTACTTCTACCTTATTTCCAGTTACTTCTACCTTTTTTCAAACTACTACTAGCTAATAATAATCGAAGTATTAGAAATAATCAATTATCATAGAATTAAATTAGTAAAATAAACAGTCTTTGACACATGACTGTCTCACGGATCGATCCCCTACCGTCCCACGGGCGTATCCAGAGAGGGGCAAMGGGGTGATGGAGAAAAGGGGTGCTCTGAGAATAAAAAGTAGTATTCAATATAAAACATAATGCTTGGCATGCGATATGCGAAAAGCATTCATCTTGGCCTGCCATACATCCGCGGCAATGTGCACTCCTAATGGTCCCATCCCTTCCCGTCATTATCCACACATGGATCTCTCATTTTTTTGTGATTGGGGTACTTTTCCTATCACAACGTGCTTTCCAGAGATAATATGACCATGAGCACACTGAATAAATCCTAAAACAATCTGATTGTAACCTTCTGCTTTGAATTGTTGTTGCATACAGTGACTGGTTTCTAATACTAAATATTCATGACACTAAATCCATAGATTCTACGGGAGGTAAGCATTCTGGATCGAAATTATTCTCTGGAATTATAAGATGATCGATTCCAATGCAAGAAATCATATTAATGAAGCTTCCCTTTACCTTCAAGTTTGTTTGCGTAATCTCCGAGTTTCGCAGGAAGCTGATCAGCCATGCCAACTTGATAACTCCCCGTAACCTACTCGAGTGGTTTTCAATGCAATTAGATGATTTCAGAATTCTTTGATGATTTATGAAATACATAAGCGTGTAAATGAATAATTTCTCGGAAATTCAAAAGATAACTAATTATTTCTAATGATGTGTTTGATTTCTGTATGTTTACAAGATGGCGACGTCTCGTTTTAAAAATCATCATCATGATGTCACGTAAAAGTGATCTACATGATACAGTGTCAACGTGTTTTTGTTTTGTTTCTGAAGTATTTTATTAATTTTCTGGGAAAAATCTGATTATACTATCTCGTTTTCAGAAACTAGGTGAAAAGTCTTAAGAGCGGCCGTCTGTCATATCGACCGAGGCCGTGCAAGTTAAAAAAATCAAAATCCTTCAAACTTTTCATTAAACATAGGCATTGATGAGCTATTACTATCGGTAATACTTTAAGATTTGTCAGATTTTTATTTTAGACAAAACGGAGGACTTTTRGTTTTGGACAAAATTGACCGGTTTTTCATGCCCAAAATAGCAGTCATTTCAACTCGTGTAACTTTTGTCCTAAAATATCTATCTAATCTTTGATTTTAGAGATGAAAGAAGATACACCCATCTTTGTGAAAATGATTAAAAAATTGGAATYAAAGCATATATTAGTTAATATTTTATNAATCTAAAAGTTGTAGTGATAAATACTCTTTGAATTGTTTTAAGATCTTAGACACTGCAAAGTATAAAATACTCCTTAAACTTAAAGAAGCTTTTTATATTAACAATCTAAAACCTGAACTTAACGTTCAAGTAAAGCATATGAAAACTTCTTTTAAACTGTAGCTGTCATATTATCTATAAATAGGGATAACAGATAACATGTACTGGTTATCTTGTTATTTTTATTAGTCACGCTAGTTCATTTAGTTCATATTATATTACATGTCAATCATTTGTACCTAGACTATATAATCATTTGTAACGACTTTTATTCTCATTCTTCTGAGGATGGCATAATGTAATGCTGAAACATGTTAAGATTAAAAAAGTATATCGTATTTTTTAAAGTTTTAGTTTAAGATCTACAGATGCTACAGTAGGTGCCTTAAAATCATGTATTTTGGGTGTGGCTTGGTTACCATAGCAACAACAAATGCTTAAAGTGGTATCAAATGATTTGTCTCAACAAGGTTAATGACATGTRAATTGATAAAATGGTTAAGCCTTTCCTTTAAAATTATTGTTATCTTGGGTATCATACCACCTTAAACAATTACAAAAAAAAAAGAAGCAAACAAATAGTAGTAAACGAAAATTACTACTATGCAACCACTCGTAGCTGTGCATGGTTAAGTTATGGGAGAAATTGAGAAGCCCRGAGCTAAAGGAGAGTTTGCTAGGATAAATATGTGCTGATGTGATACGTCGCCGAAGGGGAGGTGGTTGGGTTCGAAACATATTCGCGCTRGTTCGGTATATCGAAAGAAGACCTGAATTCGAGTGTTTACGGGCTTAAATAGGCTGAGTTGCAGCACGCACATATGTTATTAGGTTTAACAACACACTCCCGAGGGAAAACGATGTTTAGTTTAACTCACGGCTGCAATTTTCGGTACCCACAATCCCACAATCCCACACTCCCGAGGGAAAACGATGTTTAGTTTAACTCACGGCTGCAATTTTCGGTATTTTGAGCAGTTAAAATACGTAAAAATTTACACTTTACCCGAGCTAGGGCTAGCGATAGCCCTGTATTCCCAGAAGTCTAAAAACTTTAGGGCTACTGGAAATACACGGTTAGTCTCAACTCGGAAAAAAACTAATTTTCATGCCTTAAAATCACGTGAACAATTGCAACCAAGTATATTATTTCTCATATCAACGTGCTGCTAACATGGACTTGTACTTCTTGCAAAGAATGGTTTTGATCACTTAAAACTAGCCGTTTCATCAATGAATTTACAAATATGCTAATTAATTTGATAGCCAAGCCTTTATCACCTGAGTTTTCATCAAGGCTGTTGTAATGATAACAACGTTTTCTCACTGTTGCRTGCTCTCTGTTGTGYTGGACAAGGTCTTTGCGTAAGAGAATCTGATGTCACATAAAGCAGCGGCTCATTTTCGCTTTGAATTCGAAAACGGTGCATATACATAATAATACTAAAATATACTTTTATATTAATTTTCAGATAGTRTGTCAGATGGACAAAATGCAGAACTTTTGCTATCCAATTCTCAGATTAAAAATATTTCTTAATACTATAACTGGTATTTGATCCATATCCGTTTAGACATCCTACAAGATGATATACAGCGATACCATAGACAAACTGACACAACATGAGTAAAATGTTCCACGCATAGCTTGAAATAATGTCGATACAAACAGCTTWAATTTATTGTCACATAAAAAGTATAAAACTAAATGTCAAAATTTAAAGCAGCTTAAAGTTGTTTCAAGGTTTAATATACGAGATGTCAAACTTGAAAAGGTTTGTACCAATGTCGAAGAAGAGGGTTCATCCGCTTACTAAGAATGCCACTATGCATATAATGCTAATAATTGTTTAGTGTAATTTTAGAGTTGAAGTTCAAAGATAAATTCCACTTCAATAATTAATAATAAAAACGTTCATTGTAGAAAGAGAAGAGATGGTTTGCAAGGAAGCCATTATCTTTCGTATTTGTAGTTCATTCGTCTATTGTTAAAGGGAYACTGTCAATGGATGACATGCGCAGTAACAGTCTCACCTCTAACGGACTTTGAAAGTATTACCTTCGAGGTAAATCATTTTGTGGTGCTTTTGACACACTTTGGAATATTYTAGATCTGTTTACGTTTACGAGCTGATTWATGTYGCGCCAACTTGGAGTCATAAACTTGAAAACACTAGCCTAGTGTTTTCAAGTTTACTCGCGCATGCGTGCCAYTGACAGTGTCTCTTTAATTGTTMCTTGGTTTTGACAAWCCAGCGCACAGCAGAACTCGAAATTGGAGTATTACAAATACAAATGTTRCACAAAAGACATACATTGATTTACCTATTATAGATTTTCCTCAACAGCTGTTTGTTTTAGTAAGCTTCTTTGCTCGTTGTTGTGGACGCAAAAATAGATGGTAAGACAATATTGGTAAATTATCGTTCGCCCTTTACCGCCCGTCTTTCGCAGGTTTTAATGTCCTCGCATACTGGAGTCTAAATGGATCAGAAACTGGATTAACGTATGTTTAACGTATTTACTTGAGGATTATTGTAGTCAGGGTACAGTCTCTTTAAGCTATTGAAGCTATTAAAATCTCCATATTTATCTGTTTCATTTTATCTCTGTCTTGAATGTTACACACTGTTCCTTCAAATATGATAGAAATAAACGAAAGTTATAGTGATTAGAAAGAGGTTATTCCGGAAGAAAGACACTTGCATATA